TGGGATAATGGCGGCTTCTCAAGAGCAACGAGGTAGGCGATCTTTTGCACCAACGAACAGAAAACTGATGGCGAAAAATAACCAATCAGAACCTCCCAAAAAAAGGAATTTGCCTCAAAACGGAACTTCGTGGTTCTGCGCAGATTTACCAGTCAGACACGACATCTGAAGGTGGAAAAAAACTCGCTGAAAGCGAATTTTAGCAATCAACACAACTTGACGTAGAGACACGATTGGCTAAAAAATACAACGGTTTTTGATACATCGGAAAATCAACCAAAAATCGGAGACTGGGCGAAACGCTCAAGGTCGCAGAGGTGTAGGGAATCCCATAGCGAAAGCAACGGAACGATTGTAATATCATGGGGAACTCCGTTCCCATGACAAAAGTTAACTTCGCCTCAGACGTTGTACATTCCTCATTTTCTCTGAAGGCTCAAAACAGTCGCGACGTATACTTGAGAAAAATTTACGAAAGTTTCAGTTCAAAATATTAAGGAATGGAAATAAATCTTTCACAACGGACAACGTCGATGGAAAGAAAAGAGGAAGGTGCAAAAGTTGAGTGCACGTGTTCCTGATTTTTAAATGATCCAAAAAATGTTGCTATTTCGCAGATAAAGTCGGCTTTATTCGACGTATTCAAATCAAAAAGGGTTATCTTAATTGCTAAATGGACCCTGCTAACATGTATTCTTGCGTGTCTCAGACTCCGGGGCCCAATGGAGATAGGCTCTTTTGGTTTTAATTCGTCCAACTTACAATGCCTTCTTCAAAAAAGTCTGATAATTTTTCGACAAAACGGCAACACAACTCAGCAAGCCCAGGGCCGAATATTAAAAAGGACTCTTCACAAGTCTGCGAAACTTTTTCCATTTTAGAGGGCAAAGGTCCCTTTTATTTCCGCAAGAGCGGAGAGAAGGGACGCTGAAAGTCGGAGGCCGCCAAGAATATTACGTTACGTCAGCTCATTAGTAACGTTAACGCGTAACGCTCTTGGACAGTAGGGGAAGGGGGTTGATTTCATAAGTTGAAAAAAGTGGGACTCCTAAAGCTGCGCGATCAGGCTCTCAGTTAATGAGGTTAAAATTTGAAGTCGCAAGAGGATTTACGTCCGCATTTTATTCGTGCTTTAATTGGGACATTGAAAAATTGCTCCAGATTTTGTGGCCGGAATAAGGAGCCGTTCATAAAATACGTACTGCTAAGTATCGGAGTTTTTTACCCCCTCCCCGTGTAACGCACCTGTTACGTAGGTATATACTGTCCCTAAAAAGAGACGGCGCTTCCTTTTATCTCTTTTTCCCAAAATTAGAATGATTACTGATTAACCTCAGGTTTTATATTCGTTTTTATTTTTGAAAAAAATTAAAGCCAATTAGAAATGAAAGAAATAGAGGCAATTTCAGTGATCAGTATATTTGGATCGCATTTAGCAAAAAGGAACCAGCGAGATTACAGTGTTTTAAGATCGCATAATTTCTTCTTTCTTTTTAAAAATACTCAATATACGTGCCGTTTCAAAATTTACACAACTATTTTCCTTTCAAATTAACAATTTTTTTTGGTGGGCAGCAAAAACCATTTACTTTTCTGAGAGATTTTTTAGATCGTCATGAAGAAGCAACAGTTTTACATCACTGTAATGTCGTTGGTTCCTTTTTGCTTTTGGACCGCGTTAAACAGAAAGGAACCAAGCCACATCAGCTATCGCCAAATTTAATTTCTTACATGAAAACGGTTCTGCGGATTTTCGTGGAAATTGAAGTGAAAATTCTCCATAGTTTGAAGCAAATGCCTTAAAAATTTCAAAGGAATTCGCACAAACGCTCTCTCGTAAAAAATTGTATTGCTTTGGCAAAAGGTGATGTGGCATGGTTCCTTTCTGTTAAACTCGGTCCATTTATCAATTGAGGGGCTTGCAGGACAAGGCGCGTAAGTGCAGTTTTTGCTATTTTGAGAAATACGCGTATGAAGTTCCGAAATTACATGGATCTTTACATCGGAAAAAAGTTCAAACTGACCTTTTGATGCTTAAAAATTGAAATTTGGAAGCTAATTTTCACAAAATATGTATCAAAAGTAGTTCTACTTAAAATCATTTTT